CCGTAATGGGTGGAGACCTCAACCCCCCCAATGTTCCAGCCAAAGTTACACCCTTGCCTGACAGCTTGTGGAAAACGATTTGCTCAGGAAAGGCAACCCAGGAAATTTAACTCTGGTCAAATGCACACACCTAAACAGTGCAGCATCTCAGCGGCAAGAGTTTCATCTCGAATCACCGTTACTCAGTCTCAGTCTTGGTTCCCACAGTTGGTCAGTATTCAGTAGCGTTCTCCAAGACTACATATTGTGTCTATAAATTTATACTTTATTGTGTATTTACTCTGATTTCATTCATTACAGTGTACAGTACACTATAAACATTACAGTACATGTATAAACACCCTTTAATGATTTACCGAAAAGTGATTCAATCATTGTGTCATATTCATTGTGAAGATTCAGTGTATTATATATAATCACACATATAAGCACCATCTGATACTGTAACTGATTATTTTATGTTTTTGTCTCACCGGCACTAAGCCCAGCATCCATCCCTCCACACCCAGTCGGTTCCTCCTCTGCATCCCCTGAATTCCACACATAGCTGTAACCCAATCAGTTGTTATGGTTTTAAAACACCTGTTTCCATTTCACTCCTTGTGAAGTATTGAGTTTCCCACCATGCAGAGTGTTTAGTTCATGATCCACTTAGTATGTTCTACTCTTGTTTACTGATTTGTTGGTTCTATAGTTTACTGAAGTTTGATGAGCTATATTCCAAATAATATACAGATATGATCAACCACAAACAAATCTCCACACTTGCCGAGCGATTGTGAGGTGACATTATGCTTCATACTTCAATGTGCTCATAACTGAGTGTTCCACTGCAGTTGCCACATGCTTTGTTGTACATTTTATCGATGGTTTTTGTTGAAACATTTTTTGACATGAACAACATATTCCTGGGTCATTAGTCGTTGTTTTGAAATCAATGCCACAGCAACCTAGGTAGATGCTGTTATTCAGGAAGTGGTTTGTTCTAGATTCTCAAACATATGTATTGATTTTTTTCTTATGTCTACATCAATTTTGTCTCTGAAGGTTTGAAAGTTCCTCAGTCTTCATGCCTGAGTCTGTTTTACATTTGCTTTTTTTCCTTTAAAGTCAAAGGCATTCATTATGAAATCATTACACACTTCAAACTACACTATATGAACAAAACTATTGGGACACCTGTAGTAATTACAGAAATTGGCAACATAAGCCACACCTATTCCTGACATATATAGGTGTATAATTAAGCACATAGCAATGTAATCCCCAGCATCAAACAATAGCAGCAGAATGTATGTAACATCATAAAGAAGATGTTAGTCAACCTAGCACCATCATTGGACACCATTGCAACAAGTTGGTTCTCCATACTTCTGTTCTGCAAGAGCAACCCTAGTCAACCGCAAGTGATTCTGAAGTGGAAACATCTGGGAGCAACTCCAGCTGCGAAGCTGCAGCCACACAAGCTCACAAAAAGGAATCTGATCACTCAGCATCAATACCCAACCTGAATGGCAGCAAAGCCCACCAACAATGTCCCAACATCTAATGAAAAGCCAGAAGAGTAAGGGCTATTGTAGCAACTAAGGCTTAGCCAACTTTCAGAGTGAGATGTTTGACAGGTTGGTGTCCCAGTACTTTTGTTCATATAGTGTACGTGATTTTGAATCTTATTTAGTGAACTAGTGAGCAAATTAAGTTTGCGAAGAGACTGAGTATTGTACCAATTCCACGAGTGATCGTAACATATCAACAGCCATAGGCCTCCTTGTGATGCTGCTCCTAGGCCTACAACACTTATGTATTGACCTGAGTTTTATCATCTAAGATCATTGATTTTTCTTAAGTTTTATGATGTGACGATCACAAGCCTGAATTTCTGTCATATTTTACTTCTTTCTGGTATATGCTTTCAATAGCCTTTCCTCTATGTGTAACTGGCAAACCCCCAAAGGATGTCAGTCACAATCAAGTACAATGTGAATGGAATACTACTGGATACTACTGGATACTTTGCATGCTTAATGTAGTCGATCATAAATCACTCAACTGTATAATAACCAAATAATAATCAAATGTGCAAATGGAACTTCAAAAAGAATTTACAGGTCAATCTGCTAAAACATATATTCCACGTAAACTATCTGTTGTGCATTGCTGAAGAATGTTATGTCACTTCCTTGGTAGAAATTACTTATTGCAGTCTTTCTGTGGAGCATATGCAGGCTAAAAGTATGTTTAGATACACTATATTGCCAAAAGTATTGGGACACCCCTCCAAATCATTGAACTCAGGTGTTCCAATCACTTCCATAGCCACAGGTATATAAAATCAAGCACCTAGGCATGCAGACTGCTTCTACAAACATTTGCGAAAGAATGGGTCACTGTCAGGAGCTCAGTGAATTCAAGTGTGGTACCGTGATTGGATGCTACCTGTGCAATAAGTCCTGTTGTGAAATTTCCTCGCTACTAAATATTCCACGGTCAACTGTTACTGGTCTTATAACAAAGTGAAATTAATTGGGAACAACAGCAACTCAACCCTGAAGTGGGAGGCCACGTAAATCACAGAGTGGGGACAACGCATGCTGAGGCACACAGTGTGCAGAAGTCACCAACTGTCTGCAGAGTCAGTAGCTACAGACCTCCAAACTTCGTGTGGCCTTCAGATTAGCTCAAGAACAGTGCATAGAGAACTTCATGGAATGGGTTTCCATGGCCGAGCAGCTGCATCCAAGCCTTACATCACCAAGTGCAGTGCAAAGCGTCAGATGCAGTGGTGTAAAGCACGTCGCCACTGGATTCTAGAGCAGTGGAGACGTGTTCTCTCAAGTGACGAATCACGCTTCTCTGTCTGGCAATCCGATGGATGGGTCTGGGTTTGGCGATTGTCAGGAGAACGGTACTTGCCTGAATGCTTGTGTCAGGTATAAAGTTTGGTGAGGGGGGATTATGGTGTGGGGTTGTTTTTCAGGGGTTGGGCTTGGCCCCTTAATTCCAGTGAAAGGAACTCTTAATGCTGCAGCATTTTAAGCCATTTTGCACAATTTCATGCTCCCAACTTTGTGGGAACAGTTTGAGGATGGCCCCTTCCTGTTCCAACATGGCTGTGCACCAGTGCACAAAGCAAGGTCCATAAGGACATGGATGAACGAGTCTGGGGTGGAGGAACTTGACTGGCCTGCACAGAGCCCTGACCTCAACCCGATAGAACACCTCTAGGATGAATTAGAGCTCAAAGTGCGAGTCAGGTCTTCCCGTCCAACATCAGTGCCTGACCTCACAAATGCTCTCCTGGAAGAATGGTCAAAAATTCCCATAAACACACTCCTAAACCTTCCCAGAAGAGTTGAAGCTGTTATAGCTGCAAAGGGTGGGTCAACTCCATATTAAAGCCTATGTATTTAGAATGAGATGTCATTAAATTTCATGTGTATGTAAAGGCAGGTGTCCCAATACTTTTGGCAATATAGTGTAGATGCAAGAGTGGATTTAGACCCTAAAGTTCAAAAAAGTCAAAAATTATTATTTTTTCACTTTATTAACTTACTGGCCAATATGTAATACAATACAATATACAATAAAACTGTCTTTTTATTGATGTCAAAGGGAGAATTTTGAAGCCAGTGATATTGTATAACTGCCATTTATTCCAGTTTGTCCCCAGTCTCATGTCTCATATGCCCAGACTGGGCACTAGCCTGATAAGTAGGAGTGGAAAATGGATGTCTACCAGAGCAAATCAGTTAACCTGACTGCACAGAGGTCTTGGGGTACTATTATGTTTGTCTGTTTTTGTTCAAATGCATTACAAAGATTAAACGTCTTTCCTCTACAGATGTTCAGGATTGTAAATAGTGGTGTGGGTATTTGAAAGCGATTCACAGGGCGGTTTTTACCTCCTCAGCCACCAGCTGTCACACATCAACCGTCGCGTGGATAACTTGATTGCTGGAGAGCAACAGTGTAGCAAGAGGCAGGATGTTAATATTATTCTTAGATTTGCCTCATTACAAACGCAATGATGACAAATTAAGTTGTTTTAAAACTTTCAAACAAGTGGTTGTGTTTTACAGCTTAATGGAGGAGTGATGGAGGAGCTGAGTCATTCCGGCTATTATATCCGGTCTGGTTACCTTCCTTGTGGGCTAGTAAATTAATTATCATGATGATCATGCATTATTTCTACTCTAATCAGTAATATGTGCATATCCGTGTGACAGGAATTGTGTGTTGAGGCATCCATCATGGTTTAATAGTTTAAATTACAAAAAACAGTACAGTAGAAAATACAGGAGTTAGCACCTGATAAGGGGGATGCAGTGCAGTGGAAGTGCATCTCATTTTGGCAAGCTCTTTGTAATTTGCACGTGGGGTGGTGTGTATGCGTGTGTCTGTGTGTTTGTGTGTGTCTGTGTGTGTGTAGGTGGCTGTGTGCTTTAGGTCTGCTAGGAAGGTCACTGGTTTAAATCCTGGTGTCAGCATGGTGACTTTGAGCCATTGAGCAAAGCCCTTAACTCCCAATTGCTTCTACTTTCTCAAAACGTTTATGTCGCTCTAGATAAGAGTGCCTACTAAATAATCATGCTTTACACATGCAGTGGTAGTCAACAGTTGTGCTACATGACCAGAGTATCGGTATATCTTCACGCTCAAATGTACATCGCCTAGCGTGATAAGACTGCATGGGAAAAAGCATGAAAGACAAACAACAAATTAGAACAGTCACAGTTCTCGCACACACAATTATTGTTTTTTCCAATAATTTTAATAATCGATTAAATATGTCATTCTAAATTCAGCAAAACCCTTAATATTTAGAAGATATCAGTCACCCTTATTTATAAGAAAACAAACAATACAGTTGTTGACATGCAACAGTTTATAACAGCAGTGTAATAATATAACAAAGTGTCAAAGATGCGGAAAAAATAGATATACATATAATTTTCCGAATTTCCCTGCCTGTTCAAGAAACGTGTGTCTTTGAACAAGCTCACATAAACACGTTACTTCTGTTTGCTAAGCAGATGAACAACAGCCCAAGCAGCTGTGGTGACAAAAATTTTCCATCATTCAAACGGCATACAAACCCTTAATGGACACTGTACGTTATCAGCGAAAGGATTCTTTTAAATGACTTGAACCTTTGCTTGCAGTAATATAACTGACCTTGGACACGTAGCTGCATTCATTAAAAGCTATTCTCATTTCCTTGTCATTTTACACTGACAGACGATTCACAGAACTTCTACTGAATGGTATTAGAAAATTGACAGTGCACGAGCAGGTGTTTGCTTTTCCCATTCTATAACGCGAAGGGAAACCAGACAGGTTGTTTTCCTGTGACCCATTATTTCCATTGATTGTCTGTGCAAACTGGTTACGAAATGTCTACAATAAATCAATGAAAAAACTCTAAATAGTACATATTACTTATTGCTGTGCAGTTAATCAAACTTTCCTACAAACTGCATTGTAAAGAGAAACCCCCATTGCGCGCTGCTGTGCCGATCCCTAAGCACGCATGGGCGATGACAGCCCTGCTAACCTCGTAGGCGGAATCCCGTAAGCGCTAAGGAGGGGAAACTTCAGGTTTGACTCCGCATTGTGGTAATCGCAGCGCAGCGCGCTTTGGTTTCGCATCGCAACACAGGACGGGAGGACTACCGAAATGCCAGCACTGATATGAAACTTCGGACTGGGGGCTTTCTCTCCTCACTGATTTACACATTGGAGACAATTTCATGAAAAACGATAGTATTCACAGACTTTTCTTAACCAAGAATATGAAGAAATGGTGTCGGCTACATGCGACAGTCATGGTATGACAATTACAACGTAACTCTGAAAATAACTTAATAGTACTACGGAAAAGTTACGAATTTGGAAAAATATCACATAAAGATGAACAGAACCGAGATGTTCTTATCAACAGAAAACGCGACAATACCCGTTATGATGTTCATTTTCGGGGTCGTGGGTAACATCATCGCGATCGTCGTTCTTTGCAAATCCAGAAAGGAGCAGAAGGAGACCACATTTTACACGCTGGTGTGTGGGCTTGCTGTCACCGACCTCTTGGGGACTCTGCTCGCCAGCCCGGTTACGATCGCGACCTACGTGAAAGGATCGATGCCGGGTGGAGAAGCCCTGTGCCAATACTCTGGATTCATCCTCCTCTTCTTTTCATTGTCGGGTCTCAGTATTATATGCGCCATGTCAATTGAAAGATATATGGCTATTAACCATGCGTACTTCTACAACCATTATATTGACCAGAAACTTGCAGGGTTGACTCTTTTTGCCATTTATGCTTCAAACGTAGTATTTTGCGCGCTGCCCAGTATGGGACTTGGACGTGTGGAACTGCAGTACCCGAACACGTGGTGTTTTATCAACTGGAGAAGTAATGTGAGTACGGACGCGGTGTTCTCCTACATGTACGCCGGCTTCAGCTCATTTCTCATCCTTTCCACGGTGATTTGCAACATAATGGTGTGCGGGGCACTGATCGTGATGCACAGGAGGTTCGTGCGCAGGACGTCGCTTGGGACGGATCAGAGGAGGATACATGAACTCAGAAGAAGACGCAGTTTTCGGCGTTGGGCCGCTGCTGAAATACAAATGGTCATCTTACTTACAACAACTTCCGTGGTGATACTTATTTGTTCAATACCTCTGGTGGTAAGTTAAAATTTTGTTGTGCATTTGTCTATGAATAATGGTGTTTTTACTTTCGTCGTAAATACCGCACTCGTAATGAAATGTAGTATTTAACACTGGGAGCCAAAGTATTCGTGGGAAACAAAATGTGTCTGTTGGGAGTTTTTCATGTCAGTATAGTGACTCGATGGGTGGGAGTTCAGCCTGGAATATCCATGGCTGTGTGTGCCCGCAGTTTGCGTGTTCTTACCATGATCGCGTAAGTTTCCACTGCGTATCCTGCTGTCATACTCTGAAGACACGCCATTTAAGTGCCATTTGAAGAACAATCATGTCTTTGTGCTCTGTATGACGAGCCGGCGTCTAGTCCAGGGTGTCACCTGCCTCGTTCCATGTGCTTCTTGGATCTAGGCTCACCGTTATCTATCTATCTATCTATCTATCTATCTATCTATCTATCTATCTATCGATCTATCTATCTATCTATCGATCTATCGATCTATCTATCGATCTATCTATCTGTGTGTCTGTCTATCTATCTATCTTCCTTATTGCTTTCGATTGAGTAGGTATTACGTTTTTAACGCACGTAGAAGTTACTAACGCAAGTCACACCTTGCCATTTCATACCTACAGAGTAACAACCTTGGCTTCTGCTTTTGATCCGATTCCACCCAGTCCCAAGTTTCGATCACTTTCGCTGCCGGCCCAACCCTTACGGGGGAGGGGTGCGGGGTTGATACTACCGAGGAAATTTCGATCCATTTGATCGATCTTTCCATTACCTTAGCCACTAGTGTCTGGGCCCCTGAAAATCTTCTTTCCCCCTCTCTGTGCCCTCCCCCCTATTTTTATGGGCGGCCCTGCCTGGGTGTGCTTCCACTCCTGCTACTAAACATTAAAATGACAAGGTGAAATCGATATTTAAAGTTAGATTCGATTCTTATAGTTAAGTTCAGTTATTCCAATTTAGTATCCATATTTTATATTTTAACGGAATATCCTCAGTCTTTATTTTAAAATATTGATTCACACAAATTTTTGAAATCCTTTACTTTGGATCGAACGTTTTCGAATTAGCTAAAGTAATGCCTACAACAGTAATAATAAGGTATAGAAATGATCAAAAGACGTTATAGAAACCAGCTGCACATGAGCGCGATACATAGGCCTAGACTAGGCCAACATATCCCTGTATGGGTCGTTTCTAAATCAGAAAAAAATGTACATTGTTTTCACGGAATACAATGAGTGAAAACGAAAACACAGCTGCTTTAACTTAAGAATTAGTCTTAATCATTTAGCATGGAACACCGATGAGATTCGGTTTATCCAGAATTAACATTAGTTTCTACTTATAATGATGCCGTTTATTTACAAACTAAATTTGAACAAATTTGAAGTGTTAGGCCTGTAACAGCACACATTTTTCTAATAAATTCATTAGCAATGACAAGTTGTTTTCTTAGTAATAATACTTTCTCCACCTCTCATGATATTATCTGTAAACAGAAATATTTCTAAAACAGAAGAGAAACTAAACCAGCATGACATTGTTTGGCCTTTGCAAATCCATGTGGCATTGATGTAAATGTCTAAATGTGCTAACAAACTTAATAATCTTTGTCAATTCTTCTGCAAGTTAAGTAAATGTTTACAGGAGTCATTGTTAGAAATTGCAAACCAAAATGTAGTTCCATGAAGGTTGATCTTCTAACACTGGCTGGAGTATGCCAGCAATATTATTCACTGCAGTATAGCAAAGATGTCACTGGAATTTGATGTCTAAATATCAAAAGAAGCCCCGCCACTGGACTGGTGGATATTCAACAGTTTAGTTTAAAATAATTTGCCACATCTCTGTGTCTTAATGAGACACAAATAATTTGCTTAGTTTTTCCCAGAGCAAGTTTTTGAAGTCAGCTAGATCCAGATAATTATGTATTGATTATGCAACATAGGAAGTAGATGAAAATCAACATGTGCAGGTTAATAGTGAAAAAATAAAAAATATGTAATTAGTGCATGTTAATAAAATCAGATTCTGGAGTATGACTGAATGCCATCCAGTCTACAAATTGAAAGACCAGAAAGGCAAATCATTTAAATGTTAATTTGCTTCCTATCTTTGTTTTTTTTAGCATGCATGACATATACATGTTATTTTTCCCCTCAATAACAAAATTTCCCCTGAAATGCTAATGACTCATTTGTGCACATGATTACATCAAGGGAACCTTGCTGATTGCCCCACGACTGTCATGTTATCAACTTACCATGAATATTATTAATCTGCTTCAGTACCAGTCAGGAACACCTCTCACACTACAGTTTTATAATTATATCATATAAATGTATGTATAATTATAATATGTTGTACAATTATATAATATAATGTATATACTACAAATATTTCATTAGTGCACTCTTACTTAATTATCTAACCAGAAACTAAGTGTTAGTTATGCACTGATCCCATGTTTGTTCATCATTAATTGATCATAATGGGTCATGTACTAAATACGGTTACTATATTCGTGATTTGTACCTGAGTAGTAACTGAGTTACTAAGTTACTTGTACCCCCTCAAATGTTACCAAATATTTCTATTACCTGCTAAATGAAATCAGTTTCCAAAGTCCCACCTCCTTCTTACAGGCCTGCAGACTTTAAGACTGTTTTTAATCATGCTCTTCTAAAATTTGGCTGTTGAAACTTTTATTAATTAATTTTTATGTAACTATCTCTTTGGAACTGCCAGATCCATCTGCACGAAACAGAATAAGGTGAATCTGTCAATCTAATACTGTACTAAAATTCCTCATTTCTCAATAAATCATATTTCTATTACTGTTTCCAGAGTTGGGTAATTCAGGTCCAGAGAGTAAAAGTCCAGACTGGGATTTTGTTTCAACCAATCAGTTGAGTACTCTGTGACTGTGAAATAAAATCTTGGTCTGGATTTTTACTTTCTGAACCTGAATTACCCAACTCTGTTTCTAAGGAATATAATTTCATTAAATCAATACTTTCCTATTTGTTCGCTATACATTTTCCACATATTTTCTTTTGATAATCTCAGTTGATAATCTGTTTTCCAGCAAATGAATCAGCAGTATTCATTATTTCTTAACTTTTTTCTGTACTAACCCCTATTTTTTGTTTTGTTCAGTTTTGCACAGCCTGCAGTTCCAGCAAAGAGTATAATAATTACACAAAAGCTTTTGTCAGACAGAAGTCTTACATTAAATTTAGCTTATTTTTAAATGGGCTGGCATTGGGTGGGAAACATTTCTCTATTTTTCTCTAAGTCAGTGTATTATACATTACATTTTTTTGGGAGGTATTGCTCAGGAAATCTGATTTTCATTATCTCTTCTGAAGGCTATTAAGTAATTTAGCCATTTAACCACGTGCCTTTGCAGTGTTATTGACTTGCCTCATACAGATTGTGGAATCTCAACATACAAGATCTTATTCGGCTAGTTTCTTCTTTCTGTCCTGCATGACCATATTTCCAATGGAGGCTATAACATTTATAATTATATAGAAATATTCAGCTTGCACTTTGCTGAATTTCTTTCATTTTATCTGAAACTTTTAGGTTTTGGAAGAAAAGGGAAAAAAACATGAGATATGACTTGTAGCAGCCTGTGATGGATGGGCGTGCCATCAAGGTTATACTTGCTCCGTGTTTCATGGGACGGCCTCCAGACCTCCTTTCCATAGTTTACAACTAAAATATTAATGACATCATTTTTGGCTTTCTCACTTTCAGGTACGGGTATTTGTCAATCAATTTTATGCATTATCTGAGACGGTGCATAACAACAACCTTGACCTTCAGGCCATACGAATTGCCTCTGTCAACCCAATTCTGGATCCCTTGATTTATATCCTGCTTCGCAAGACTGTGCTACTTAAGCTAATTGAGAAGATCAAGTGCCTGTTCTGTAGGATTGGGAGTCGGCACCAGCAAAGGACCGCAGACTTCCACTGCATGGCTGGAGTACGGTCCTCTTCTGTGATCTCCCATGATTCCCCGTCCCTCATGTCACGGGAACTGAGGGAAGTTACAAGCACCTCCCAGACAGTGCTTTACCTGCCGGAAAACACCAATGGATTCCATTGAAGCTGGCAGATGGGACAGCCGAGGTCCACAGAATGTTCCTCTTTGGTGGACAGTGGAGAATCCGACTCACCAAGCAAACACAACTCTGCCTTAAAGGCTTCAGATGACCACTGTCTACACACAAGCCTGAATAAGTCTCCTTTTTGTCCGAAGAATCAGTGTGACTTTCACAAATAGAGCACTGAACTTGCAAGAGAAATGGATATAGGTCCCATGTGTGTACTTTCAGGGGAATTGAGCTAATCATGAGGTCCTGGAAGCTGCTGCAGATGATGACATTGGACTTCCTTGGTATTTGGAGATCAAACAGGCTTGACAAAAAATTTGTTAGGACTTATTTAGCCAACACAAGCGGAACTTTGAATTGAATTTTGAATTTTCTTTGTGTGCGAAAATTGAGGCTTTAGGCTGAAACAAGTTTTGTATTATAAAACAGACCTATTAACATTTAGTTATATGTCTCTAATCAAGCCAAACAGTTAAACCACAACACTCTAGTGCAGTGTTTCCCAATCCGGTCCTCAGGGACAAACAGCCGGTCCATGTTTTTGCTCCGTCTCTGCTTCCTGCCAGACAGTCCACTGACTGTGGGGCCTCCGGGACCGTATTGGGAAACAGTGCTCTGGTGCCTTCATGCTAAACTATTCCCTAGTCACATTTTTTCTTATGTTGAAATTAATGAACTATGAATAGAACATTAGGAAGTATGTTAGTGAGCAATCTATATATAATATACGCACTTTTTAAATGTTAACCACTGAATCATAGAGGCAGGATCCTATAAGAAGAACTGAAGCATGGCATTGAAATTTCACTACTCACTGGCCTAAGCAACTTGGTATTGTACTTATATGATGCTATAATGTGAATTTACTCTGAAATATCATTGTTTATTATATAAAGTACTTTTCTTCTCTGTGAGAAGATTTAAATATCAGATGTTGATTTGTATTGTGTTGATTGTAGATACATATAAGATGTATTAGAATATAAATTGCTGGGAAAAGCAACCATTGAAGTTCTCTTGTAGTTATTTTAGATATTCCCAAAGAATATGAGATATTTTTCATGCTTTAACAAAGATGAGTTTAATTGCAACTCTGGTAGCAGAATTGATCTATATTACTGCAGTTTACCGCTTCATGGAAGTGCATTTATATGTTAACGGCTATATAGCTGTACACAATAATTATAAATCTGTCTCCTTTTTCATTTACAAGTGATTGTAAATTTGTCAGAAGTTTTTTTTAATTAAAGGAATATTAGTGTTCTGAAAGAAATGCTGACTTTTTGTAAGCTTTGTGCTTCAGTGCAGAGTAGATTTTGGGTTTGTACCTCTGTAAAACTAAGTGTTGAAAGTAAGCAATTCAGAAACGTGTTTGGCTCAGTGGGTTAAATCTCTCTGCCTGTCATCAGAAGGTTGGCCTGAGCTCTGCACGTCTGCAGGTCCTTGAGCAAGGCCCTTAACCCCCAGCTCCCTGGGTACTGCAACAGGTGGCCGCCCTTCACAGCCAGCTTGCTCTCACCTACATGAAGCAGGTTGGGGGAGGTATTACGAGAATTTCCTCATGGGGATCAATAAAGTATCAACTATTATCAAAAGCTGCACCCACCGCAATCTGGTATAAAAGCAATTTTTCATCCACACTGCACACTTTTCTCAATTTTTACTCTCACTGGTACATTTGTCTTTGTACAAATAAAAGTATCATCATAACTCCATGTGCAATTTAGAGAGCAAAGGAAGCACATAGATACTCTACACAGAGCACAGAGGTGGGAATCGCCAACCCCCACAGTGTGCAGCAATAGTGATTCCCAGAGATCCAGCACAGTAACTTAAAAAAATGCTTAAAAAAGAAATTATTTGTATATGTCATCTTAACAGAAAATAAAAGGTTTTGCGTGTAACATATATACTGATAAAATATGTGAATTGGATGCATACATTTGCAGCACACACATGGTAAGATAATATAAGATGTCACCATATTTATTCTGGGGGAAATTATTTTGCGTACAGTGGTAAGTTGCAGAAAGTACACAGATACAAATATATACTGCAAAACAAAAGGCAATGACGCATACAATGTGAAAACAAAGTGCGCAGATAACAGAATTTTGTTCAGGAAATACATTTAAATAACTTGTGGTGTATTTGCAATTAATCTGCTATGGTAACAATTTAATCAACCGAATAAAGACTTAAGTGTATTTCCATGTAAATGTAACAAAACACATTTCCACTCTGGAAATAATCAATAGCGTATTGGTGTTGCAAGTGTGAGAATTTAAGGATTCCAGTGTAACAGTAGTTCATTGAATTACACTGCAAATGTTTAATTGTTATAAAACAAAATGGTTCTGTGGCTTGGTGAGCAGCGTTTTGTCCTCACATGCCTATTCTGGATGCAGCTCTGTCTGAGTGGAGTTCGCACACTATCCTAGTTTAGGTGTTTCCTCAAATACTGAAATAAAACATGTGGTATAGGTAACTATTTTGCTTTGTCTGTTCCTGCTGATGAATTTTTCTTCCCTCCAGGGTGTATCACAGCCTTGTGCCCTATTTTATCTGGGATAGGCTCCAGACCCCCCCCCCCATGACCCAGATAAATGCTTAGAAGAATGGATGGATGGATGGATGGATGGGGAAAATATGGTTGTATTTCTATATTCGTCTCCAAGGTGTACAAAAGCAGCAGTGTCTGCTCAATAACCTCATTTGTGAAAGAAAGCTTTTCATGCTGGAAAACAGCGACACCCTGGTGAAACGTAGGAAAACGAAGACTAAAGCACAGCTCAGTCACTGTCCTGTCTATGGTGAGCATAGACCCCAGCCGGGAAGTCAAGTCAGGACTGACAGTAAGGCCAGTCCCTAGCAGAGTTCAAATGACACAGAGTAGGAGGGCCTCCAAGCAAAAGCATTACGTGGCACCAATTACCAGTAACACTGTGGAAATTTAGGGTGTTGATGCACTTAAACTTCAAATGCAAAATGTATGCTAATTTAAAAGTGGGGGTAAATAATCAGATAAATGAACAAAAGTGAAATGAATGTACCATTTGATATCTCTACAGAGGGCATGGTATTATTAAAAATACTGGGTTATTTTAATAAATTATACAGATGTGTATAACAAATAGTAAAACTAAACCACATGCAGTTTATCAACAAAAATCATACAGGATAATGACACTATTCCCATTACACACTGTAACATGTGCTTCATCTCTGACGTACAATTCACTGGACATCTGTGGATGGTTAATCCATACAAACTATAAGAAAATGAGTCACCCCCCCGCCCCCAAAATAAATGTTTTATTGCAGGTGCACTGCAACAAATTTAACTGGGGGCCCGAGCAGCGATAGCTCCTGGATCGTTATTGCTTTTGTACTGATTATTTTTATACATGTAAGACTGGCTGCAGGGAAGCAGTAGTTTCCCCGAAATGAAAATTAAGTGAAGTGCAAATAGTCTGGAAGGAATCACTTTAAAATTCTAATACTTGCTCCATTCTCTTGCTGTGACTCACGGCAGCATATGAAATTGCATTTACTGAAGCAGCCACACTGGTTAAAGGCAGACATGAGCTTTATGGGATGAGTGCATGTGTTGCCAACACTCCACCCTGGATACAGATCTCGCCTTGTATGAGACACAGGAAAAGGGACAGTTGCTTCACTGGTTGTGCTCAGTAGCAGACGGTGATGCAACAGGTCCACAGCACAGAGAGCAGAAGCACATCCTACTGGCTGAAACAGTGACTTGTTTTACTCTGCCTGGCTCCACGTAACCTATGAGATTAATTTGCTTTTGTTTGTTGCTAGATGTTAAAACAAAACCATTTGTCTTCTTAATAAAGCATTAACCTTATGGTTAGCCTGAGTTCTAACCCAGGTGGCATCTGACCCAAATTCTATCCAAGCCTGAAGCCTCACACTAGACCTCCCAATTTTAACTGCAGTCGTAAACGGAAAGTATTACTTCAGAATTCCAGCTGGAAGTAAAGGGCACAGGTATGCAGAAGTCATATCATTTTAATAAATTGGTTTTACAGACACACATTTTTGTTTCAAGTCCAAGGTATGACACTGCTTTGGCTAATACTACATTTTGGTATTATTGATAACAGCAGTCATGCAGGTATGTACAGGCTGGTTTAAGGATGTTAAATGTGCATCTTTAAGTTGTATATAACAAGTTTCCAATAAAATGATCAGAGTACCTGCAAGAACAAAATCGAGTCTAAAAATTTAAGATAAAACCACAGATTTCTATTGACTTCGTGGTTGTGTGGGTGTGTATGCAGAGACTAAACAGGGACTAAACTAGCAGCTCACACACAAAAAATCTACACATTCTTCCTCCTTTCACCCTTAACGACTTTATTCAAAAGTCTGGACACAACGCATAAACCAATCATTTTACAAACTGGTCCATATTAAACAGTTAAAAATACTCCTCCGACATTATAGTCATCCAAGTCACACAGAAAAAAACAAAATGACAAATGAAGATATAAATACGGTTTTGGGGATTTTTTTCAAAATAGCACTGGAAGCATCTCACAACGACAAATGACCAGAAAAAAAATAATAGTAATACCATGCAAAACCAAGAATGGAACTGGTGCTGACAGCCAGTTGTGTCACAGCCCCCGTGCTTTGACAAACTGCGCCTGAGAGGGCAGTGGCATGTCTGCAGTGTCCAGCTGGGTTTCCACTGTCCCACTGGCACCTATGATGACTGCGGCTTTCTGCAGACTGTCGTATCTCTTCTGCCTCTCAGCGACAGCAGCGCACGCAGCCACTACTTCATCGCCCTCAAAATCATAGTCAGGGACGAGCTCAGGAACTTCAAGCAGCTGCTGCATGGTATCCTGCTGCTGCCTGAGCTTCTCCTCCATCTCTCGTCTCTGCTTCTGCAACTTCTGAGCCCACGCCAGGTCCTCAGTCCATAGAGGGAGCTCAGCTGGACACAGGTGAACTGCAACCTGGAAACTTCTCACTGCCTGTAGACAAAAATCCAGGTGCATTAAAAATGTAACCATGAGGTGATTGTCACCGAGTAAGAAACAGAGGAGTTAGTCATGTATCCACTTCTCTGCTTTAAGTTTCTTAAGAATGTACAAGTGGTTATGCAATGATAGAACTTGGACAGTGTTGATATCTGAGCCAGTAACTGCTACTGCAGGCCAAATGGTTATCCATATTTTTATTTATTCCAAAAATACTGACATTGTACCCTGATGCCATGGATTTGATTTCTCAACACAGAGCATGAAAATTTTTAAATTCATCAAACTGAAATAGAACACACAAAAATGAAAAACATACACTGTTGGAAAATAGGTATACGTCCACTTTAGAAGTCTACGAATAAATTTTTATTAAGGTTCTACTGGAATCTAAGTATGCGACTGAACATTCACTGAGAGGACGCAAGTCGATGGATGACTGCATTTTCATGTTTACATAAAGCTGTTTGGATACTACTGTAACAAGTACAGATATCAAAGAACCTTCACAGATCTACATATGCTTAAGGAAACAGTGGCTCAGTGAGTAGCACTGCGGCCTCATACGTCTAGGGCTCATGTACGACAGCTGGCTTTGTGCTTGTGGAGTTCTGCATGCTTTGCCTGTGTTTCTGTTCCTCCCACAGTTCAAAAACCAAAACTACATTTGTGTGAACTGTGTTTTAAGGTGTGGTCTTGTGCATGTGTGCCCTACAGTGGACTGGCATCCAATCCAGGGAATCACAAATAACAAAGCTGCCAAGATTAACGCTTGGGCCAAAGAAAATGCCAGTGAATATTCACTTAATATCAACAGACCTCTGGGACCACTTTTCTGATTAATTTGGACTCTGAGTAATGATACACAGTTCCAGGAACTAGTCCTTTTCCTTTTGGTAAGACAGAATTCCATTTCCATTGGACACTTGGCCAGCAACCACTCAGGAGAGACGGTGCACAGCATAGAGCCTTAGAACAGAGAAGTACATTGATCATGTAGGTTTGCTAGTAAAACCTACTACGGGCAGAAATGCGGAAATGCTACAAACTTTTAGCTTTAGTTACAACAATGTCTTCTAATAAACTGGCTATGGTTTTGTTTACCGATGATTCAGAGAGTCTCACATATTGCTTTATGTAACGGAAAAAGTTAAACTAGAGAAAACGTTTAGCAAAACAATTCCTCACACTTGGCTTGACTTCCTGTTGTTGTTTACATGCACTGGTAACTTTGGCCAGCCACTTGCAAACATTTCTTAAGCATCAGAAGAGTTGATTTTAACACAAAAAACTTTTGTAATGTCTTAGTCATCAAAAACTGCTCAGCTTTAAAATCACCTTAAAGAAACCAGTACTTTTTGGTCCAGTAAATGCAGTACAGATGTGCTATCCCACTCTTAAGACATTAAGGTTTTAATTCTCTTTTTTTTTTTTGCTTTGAACATCACCAGTGTACACTGCAAAAGTAAACTTATCAAGCTGGTTAAAACGTAGACAACTGCATATATGGGAACATCAATGAGCTTCAAAGGCTAATTCATACGTTTTATCATTTATAACCAACTAATCAGATCTATGCTAGTAAGAATCACATTTTAAACCAATAATAATCATGTGTTACTTTCAGTGAAATATTGCTTTTTCAGTTCTAATTGAGAGATTAATCAGAGTCAACTCTGCTTAACAAAACTATTTGATCTCTGGCGTTCTACAATGTCAGAATGTACAAGATGAAAACTGCTAGATTTGAATTTGCATGTTCAGGCCTGTGTGGTGTACAAATTATTTTTGGCATTAGGGCATGGGTGTGTTAAGTGTGTGTTAATACTCTGGCATGGTTTTGAAATTGTGAAGCATTATAGGACAACAAAAGGATAAAAACAGATACAAGATTTACTGGTTTCATAATGTGATGCCCTACATAAATAACTAAAGTTTAGTACATTCAAAAAGCATTTAAAACACTTAAAGTAGTAACAGAAAAATCCATGTAAATGATTTAATGATAACAGGTCCTATGGAATTACTATTTTTATGCAAACACCTTACCAGGTCAACCTCTCCCATATTAAGCTGAGCCCGACCAAGGGTCTGCCTTGCCTCCCACCAAAGGGGGCGGAGTTTCACTGCCATCTCAGCTGCCCGCACCGCGGGGAACACCTCCTGCAGGTGAGATAAAACCTGGACGAAGACACCACTGTATCATTTACATCCACAAATACAATGGACAATTATAGTAGCATTACTGCTTATTGCAGTTTATACACCCAGTATTTATATCAGGAATGTGCAGCTCCATCACTGAGGCTGAGATACACATCTCCTTATATTAGGAATGTGCAGCTCCATCACTGAGGCTGAGATACACATCTCCTTATATTAGGAATGTGCAGCTCCATCACTGAGGCTGAGATACACATCTCCTTATATCAGGAATGTGCAGCTCCATCACTGAGGCTGAGATACACATCTCCTTATATCAGGAATGTGCAGCTCCATCACTGAGGCTGAGATACACATCTCCATCCATTGCCAATGATCCGATACACTAAAGATACACATCAAGCGAATACTATTGCGATGATATTATTTACCCCAATGCAATGCAATCTGACATGATTTGATTCAAACATCAAACGATGTGATGTAAAAGAATAAGATGCTAGGCAATTCAATACGGCAGATACAGAAACAAATTAGAGAGGGGGAATAAATCTAAACATAAAATCAAATGGCAAAAAATGATTGGTCACATTTATAAATAATAAAGACATAGGGCCTCTGCTAATAATTATATGCTAATAAATTGGATTTTACCGATGCAAAGACGTTAGAAAACAATGCATCCCGAGTTCATACCAAATTGTATGAGTTTAAATAAATAAATAAATAATTGGGGCAATCTCATAATGAACTTTTATGCCAAAGCACTGAGGCGAATCAGTGAATTGTACAATCCCTAATATATACATGCATGTCCCCTCCACCTCACCATTCTAAAAAGGAATCATACTGAAAAGTTAGAGATGCACCAGTCCCACGTTCAGTGCCCATACAATCCCAATACCCGAACAGAAGGTATCGGCTGATATGAGTACTCATCTGATACCAGAGATTTTTTTTGTTTAAACTTGTAAATATAAATGAAAAACAATGTATGCCAAAAAAGCTTTAATTAGGCTACTAGAAACATATATAACATACTGTTCCATCTCGCTTGTGCATCTTGTTTTAAGCATTTTTGAGGCATTTTGCTGTTCAATTTGAATATCTTCCAAGTGAGAATACACAAGTGACGAATGCTTAAAATGCTCCCCAAATTTCCCCCCCCACTGGTAACAATGTCATTTACACTTTGTTGTGGTAGCAGCCCTTTGTGTATCAGAAGCTGCAGCAAAACAGCCCAAGCTAGTGACTCACAAATCATCCATTGCTTTTTTCATACTACTTGCATAATCCAGCACAATTGAGTGCGCTTTTAGTGAGATTTTATACTAACTACTACTTCTACTTTCGGTTTTTAAAAAGACTGCAAATTGCTCTGCTACTAGTTGTTTTGAGCATAAAATACTTAGATTGCAGACATGTTTGTTAGTTTGCTTTGCAAGCATGCAAGTCACATTTGCTATTGCTACCTTATCTGATGTTCTTACGCTCCTCCTACTGCAAAGGGTATGCGCATGACGTCACAGCAAGTGGAAGCCACTGCGCTCACACCCACTGAGTGGCAAACAGACTGAGTGGCACCAGTAACATTTAGCTTGAATGCCGCAAAATCACATTAAAAGTAAAATGGGAAAGAGCTGTCATGTGATCCACTGTAAAAATCAATTGTACAAATCGAACAAGAAATAGGATCTTTTTACAGACTTATTGACTAAATAAGTAAGTATCAGACAAGGATTGGTCACATACAGCAGATACCTGATCCGTCTACTTAGGTATGGACCAGTCCCAATACTGATCCCAAATATCTGATTGCTGCACCTCTAGAAAAAAAGTACTTATCGATGGCATCAGAGGCACCTTTACTTCAGCATCAAAAAGACACGCTAAAAGCTTTCAACTAACTCAGATTTTCATACGTATTAAAATCTCAGTACCAAGTTATCACAATGAGCAGAAAAGGTTTGACTCATTGATAAAGCAGAATATAAATATCCTATAGCAGTCCCTTCAAATAAACTCCTTTGCTAACAATACAGTTGACTAGCAACATGAAAATGATGAATTGCAAAAATGTGGAAAGATTAAAGAATAACGGAAAAAAAAATCACAACTGTATGAATAAAAACTGTTTACAGAGATCAAACCTGATGTTCTTTTCTGATTAGAGTTTAACAGTTCAGTTTTGTAACTCTCTTCATGCACCTACAAATCATGCTGTGTGCACCGATGAGCAGCACTGACATTTACCGGCAATCATGCCACATCCACCCTTGTTAAATTTCAACAACATGCATCAGCTGCACTGTGAAAATGATTAAAAGGAACACAGTGCTCCTGTTCTTATGTAGCACCTCTGCAGTGGTCACTCTCTAAACGATGGAAAACTGACCTGCTCCTAACACTGATGTGGAGTTTACATATAAATGCTGCTTCTTTAAAAGCACGACTACGAAAGAGCATATGCTGGTCTATTTAGCCACAACTTCCTTTGCCATAACTGTAATTACACAGAAGTGCCGTACATGAGTCACTATCCAATACACAAGTATGAGGTCACACCGCCAGAAACAACAAGAACGCGACACACACACAGACAGAAAGACACAAACCGGCTGAGATCTTCATGTACCTGCGACTTCATTTCATACAGGGTTGCATCTTCTGGGGTCATCTGAATCGCTTCCTCCCATCTTTTTATCGCCTCCCAGGGCCTGCGTGTTGAACAGCAAAGCCATCACCTATAGTGTGCCGGTCACATTACACAAATCACGATACGCAACACATATGTTTTTGCACTTACACCAGTGGCTAAAATTGTGGAAACACTTCCAATTTTGAGAGATTGCAGAAAGTTATTAAACTGTTGCTCCAGTTCAATGTGTGATATTTGTAACATTCTTTGAAACATTAATGCCAATGTTCGATTAGTAATTTTTTAAAGTGTAAAGCGTAAAGCCAAAAATGCTAGGTGTTTCCATAATTTTGACTAATGTATGCACTCCCCCCTTTTCAAATAAATGCTTTCATAGGAGGGGGGTTCACGGTGGGCCTGGAGAATATCCTCAAAATGAAGGCAAGGTTGAGCCAGGATGGTGGCCATGGAGCATTGCCTCAAACAAACGAGCACATGCAACATGAATCACCTGCCCTCAACCCTTGCCCAAAGCAGTAGGCGTAGCAGTGACCATAATGAAGATGATAATATGATGAAAGGTCTGAGAGGCAGTGTGGAAACTGGCTTATTTCCTCAAAATTACTCATTCAAATTCAATGGCTACAGATGAGTACATAACAAACTTCAATGAGTATTTAACATCCTGCAGAAACACTAACACTAACAATGCATACATGTTGGCAGTAGACAAAATAGGCATAATAGAAACCCGAATTTCTGCTCATTCATCGTATTCAATTATTCTATGTATTGAACAACTGATCAGTCCTTACACTGTTGGAAACATCACTTAAATGTGATTAAAAAAAATCTGGTAAAATAAAACATGTACATTCATTATCTAGAACAGATTTCAGATTATTCAGAGAAAAGCAGCATATGTAATCTAGGAAAACAGAAGCAACGCAGGATCTTTCTCAACACCAAGTTTCTGTCTTGCATTCAAAACTACTTCTATCTTCAGTAAATAAGCATGAGAAAGGAAACGGGTGCAGCGTGAAAACCCGTGACCGAGAGAACTGCTAATCAGGCCAGAACTTCAGAAATGACGCATATGCTGTCAGGCTCGAGTAAAAGTTTACAATCCAAGCCATCCAGAGAAGGAAAAAAGAAAGGTTAATCAATAAAAGTTCCCGGAAAAAAACAGGTACGCTTACAAAACAGGCTACTCTTTACAGCCATAAGTGCAGATAGAACAGTTAAGTGGCTCGATTTATGGTAAGTTACAACAATACTGTAATGTACACTCGCTTAAGAGAGGTTCCTGACGTCAAGCCATTTAATTTAACTCTAGCAAACATTTATAACATGCAGTGAAGCCCTTACTCACATATTCTATCCTGTCCCCGTCAGCTGGGAATGCAGTAATTTAAGGAATATAATAGAGCAAATAAATGTTGGGTCCCTATTAATTAACAGATTAATTACAGCAGGGAATCACAACCTATGCTGTAAATCCATTTTAGGTGAGTAACAAGATATATCTGTTACTCGTACAAAGGAACAAATTGTACACAAACAGCAATTCTAAAAGTACACTTGAGTGCTGTGGTATGCTGAGTTTGTTTAACGTTTTTAGATTCTGAGGGTACAGTCTGTGAAAATGCTTTCAGGGTGACTGCAAATACAGTAGAGGTAGATCAAAACCCGTTTGAAAAAACAGCATGACGTTGCTGTGCAGACTGTAAGCTACAATGAGTGTCCCTAGTTTTAAGGACTAAAAATGGCATTTATAAGTAATACTTTCTACACCGTGAATGATCCATTTCACACTGCCCAGTCACATGACCAGCCACAACAATCTGATCAGACTCATACTGTCCTGGAGAGTCGTACTGCCAAGGTACGTTAGGCCTGCAATCCTTAAAGGCATCAATGTGAAAAATTAACCACTGCATTTCAACAGAAACTTTTGTCCTTTCTCACTTCCTCCTAGAATTGTGGGTGTCAATTTGTGTCTAGTCTGCATGCCTAAATGTGTCACTTCAATAACACGTACCAGAAACAGGAAAAAAAACAAATGTTGAATAGGCAGGTCAGTATAAACTTAATGGCAAGAGAAATTTAACATGCTTTTTGCATCTACAAATATATTAATAATACATTAGTAATATAGAAATACACCTATGTGGTGTTCCCTGGGGTGTTACGGGCCAGTGTGTGGCTCAGTTTGCTAAGCCTGTGTGCCTGTAATCAGAAGGTTGCCAGTTCAAACCCAGCCTCAGCACGTCTGCAGGGCCTTCAGCAAGGCCCTTAACCCCCAGCTCCCTGGGCGCTGCTATGGGCGGCTACCCTTCGCAGGCAACTTACTCTTCAAAGATTAAGTTGAGGGAGGCGTAAGGACAATTTCCCCACAGGGATTAATAATGTATCAATTATTATTGCTGTCATACAGTAGACGGCTAAATTAAAGATGGTCAAACGTGCAAGCAATTGTCATGTACTTACACATCTGTACAAAGCAATAAAAGATAAGGCCGTCAACATTTTTTTTTCTAAAAAGAAACAGATATGAAAATGCAGTAAAAAAGCAAATGATGATGTGTGCGCCCTACTGAGGAAGAAAAAATGTTATATTCATAGGGCTGGGTATTGGCACAGATGCCCTGATTCAATTCAATCCAATTTGATTCCAATTCGATATTGATTCAATAGGAATGAGATATGAAATACTATATAGCAGCTTTCCATATTTGGTGAGATGTTTAAAAAGCTCTAAATGGATCACAAAATTTTCAAATGCTAAGTCACTGAAAAATTGTGAAACTCACTAAAGAAAAGGCCAAAGACTTGTATACCAAAATATTTATAATCTGAGAAACAGAATATATATATAAAATCTTTTTTTGTTGCGTTCTCGTTAACTGCATGCGAGAATTCGAGAAACTGTTTGGTTTCTGGTGACCAGTTCTGATGCAGCTCTGCTGCAGTTGAAAAAGGGTTGGCAAGTTTTTGATGATCAGCACTTTGGTCTGTAGTTGAATCTTTGGCATATTGTCAGAAGTCAGGTTGCACTTCAAGTGAAGGTCTGGTGTGCTGGGGTTCTTTTTATATACACCTGGGATTATATACACTCACCTAAAGGATTATTAGGAACACCATACTAATACGGTGTTTGACCCCCTTTCGCCTTCAGAACTGCCTTAATTTTACGTGGCATTG